TTCTGGTGGTCGGTGGGGGGCACGGGGTGCTGCAGGGCTGCGGTGGCTGCTGCGGGCTCTGGCCATGATGTAATGGGAGCGTTGAGGGTACGGCCGGGCCGGGGCGAGGGGGCCAATGCCTCTCCTTGCGTGAAGGATGCGGCTGGGTCTCGAAGAACTTGATGTTGGTGTCTGACGGTGTGCCGGTACATCGTGGATTTCAGGCGGTTCCCCCCCACCCTGACTGGGTGTTGCTGCCGTAAGGCAAAACCTAAACCCAGGAAAGGAATTTCCTATTTCTTCAGTAGAAATAGGAGATTCCCCTTTTCACTTGGATAGGAAATACTAGGATTTTTTTTTTCTTTCTTCTTGTGGTTGACGTACATCGTGGATTTCAGGCGGTTCCCCCCCACCCTGACTGGGTGTTGCTGCCGTAAGGCAAAACCTAAACCCAGGAAAGGAATTTCCTATTTCTTCAGTAGAAATAGGAGATTCCCCTTTTCACTTGGATAGGAAATACTAGGATTTTTTTTTTCTTTCTTCTTGTGGTTGACCCAGGAAGTCATCTTGTCGCCAGCCTTCTGGTTTTTTTGCTCTAGAGGTGCAGGGAGGAGGGTGTTGCTTTGCTCTGGATCCTGTGGGTAAGCGTTGAAGGCAGTGACAGCAGCTGCTGTTGGCTCTGGAGCTCTGGTTGCTATGAGAGAAGCTTCAGTAGACTTGGCTGCTATCTCCAGGGAAGGACAGCAGAGCAGCCTCCATTAGTGTGGTGGTGGAGAGATGGCTGGCTCACGTTCAGCAAAGGGCTTTACTTTTCAGGCTGTTTCCACAGGTCCAAAGCAGAAGCCGGGGGGTGTTTTGGTCCGGTGAGACAAAAACCTACAAGGTGGGTTTCATCATTGTTCTTGAGTTAATGGAATTGCATTAAAGTGTGGGCTGGAAACCCCGAGTTACCCTTTCCAGATATTTTGGTCCATGTGAAAAGTAGGACAGTGAGAATTGATATGATCTTCCTGTTAACTGAAGGCTGCCGTCGTGTCTCTTTTGAACTCCAGTCTCCTTTCCAGCCAGTAACAGAGCCAGATGCTTTTCTTATTGTTTGTATGTCTCCTTCCTCCCCTTCCATCGCCTGGGCCCCACTTGCCTTATTGACTGGAATTTCTGCTGTGTGCAGTGGGTGTGTGCAGCAGACACCAGCCTGCTAGTGCTGAGAAGGGATTTTCCATTCACAGACCAGGGAACAGTCAAAATAAAGGCCCGGCTCAACTTTGGGACCGCAAACCGAAAGCGGGGAGAGGAGTTTCCCTCTACTGCAGAGTAAAATTTATCCTCTGCACTTCTTAGGCAGTTGTATGTCAAAGTGTATAGAAAATGCTGCTCTGCTGTGGAATAGGGAGGTGAGACCTCCTGTGAATAATGGGGAAGATTCCTCTCTTTCGGTTGACGCAAATGCTTGATGAAGGAACAGTTTGCAGGAGGCCATTTTTGACGTGACTATGTATTGTGGAATCTGCCAGCTTCTATCCCCACACTCTGTCTACTTGACTGCAATAGCTTCCTTTTTTTTTTAAGGAAGAATGAGTGCCTTTCTTATCTGCTTAACTAACCATTTGGCACTGGCCGCTGTCTGTATGATATTGTATTGTTGACT